ATATAGCAGGGATGGCCTCCAACCTGATAGCGATGGCCTCCAACCTAGAAGCGATGGCCTCCAATCTAATGGCGATCACTAGCGATTTTGTTTTTTCGTGGTCAGGCCCAGCACGTCATCGCACCATTCCCAGCGGTCGGGACAGCCAGATTTTTGGGTGACCCGTTGGGCCATGTTCAAGGGATCACTTCTCAGCATGGCTATGGCATATGGGTCAAAACCCGGAGAGCCAAACCCCCGTAGGTTGACCTCCTTTGTAGTGCATTCTACTCTTTTCGCTGGTTATTCAAACTATACTGGTTTTGACCCACAACCACATTGTGGCTAATTGTGTTTTCTGAGATGATGTGGGCCAATGTGGGCGAACACCTGGTAGATGAAGGTGAACATCCAGTGTCGTTTTGGTGAGGGATGTTGCAAACAAGCAACCTTGAATGGCCGCCATGACATCTCATCTTCAATGTCACATGGAAGAATTCTGTGCTTGTTTCACTCAGACTAGGCTTGCTAAATATGTCAGGCTCCCATGCAGTCGGTACAAGATCAGCAGATGAAGAGAGAAGCCCTGGTGAACCAGGCGGGGATCTGAGTCTCGTAGGTTATTTGGATGCTGACCACGAACATCTTGAGGACAATGACGGTATCTTGACCAACAGTGGCGGCAAGTTTGGAAACAGTATGGAATGACTCGGAAGTTCTCTTTAATCTAGGGTGGAGGCCATCGCTATTGGGTTGGAGGCCATCGCTAGTAGGTCGGAGGCCATCGCTAGTAGGTTGGAGGCCATCGCTCTTAGGTTGGAGGCCACTAGTAGCAAGGACGCTACTAGTAACCCCCAAACGAAGCGGATTGCAAAACGACACGCCAGGGTAGCCGTGCCAGGATAGCCGCGCGGCTACCCCGATTGTGGAGTCTGCACAGGCGGACCGGCAGACATGGGGAGGTGGAAGAGGGTAGTGGACTAGACTAGATCATTAGACATGAATTCTGAGATTCAGATGGTCTTCCTTGGAGAAAATGGTCTGGATAAATCATGTAGCCCCTTATTAGGTACCCCATTAAATGTTTTGAGATAGAGAGCGAAACATTAGATGAATAAGATTTCTCCTGGCGAGGAACAGTCACAAGTCGTATGAACCTGCTTGCCCACGGGCATCTCAAGAAGAAAGGGACCTACAAACATATACAAACACTTAGACAACTAGCTATGATATGCAAGCTACTATGCTTTGATGCTTTATATTACTTGTTGGCGCTGCTGAGGATTCGGTGGAGACGCAGCGAAGAGCCGTTGAGGAGGCACGACGTAGACGATGAGAGCCTTCCCGTCGCAGTGTCGGAGATTGGGATCTGTCCAGATTCATAGCTGAGAAGAGAGGTTGCTTGAAAAGATTACCAGTTGGCTTTAGACGGTCAGATCGCGCGCACACACACACACACTGGTTGTTTCAATTTTCCTGGGACACATCATTCAACAGTACTGGAGCATTTTGAACACAAGGAACATTGAGGACAAACACTTCTGGCCAGACTAATATTTCATTGTGCATGCACAGCGTCACTGGCACCTCCAGCATACTCAAGCCTTCTTGTCGGAAGATACTCCACCAAAAAGATTAGACCTGTTTCAAGTCAGCCCGGCGCCAGCTGCACAGTCAGGTCATGCTTCCACCCTCCAGTCGACCATCCAGCCGACCCTGCTCTGCCCAGTCCGTCAAGGCTGGGAGACGAGAAGCACGGAAGGAACCGAGTCGGAACAGCCGGAACAGTGGGAACAGTTGACCTGCACCGAGTTGAGGTAAAGAAGAAAAAGATCGAACAAGAAGAAACAACCACATGTTGGAAACCCAAACATGACATCAAGGACGCATCTTGAATGCGACATGTTGACCCCCCCCCACAGACCCTTCGCCCTAGTGCTGCCTAGGCGGCTGGCCAGTACATGGGCCTCTTGGTGTGCTCGGAGAGACCTGAGACGCTTTTGGGTCGCTTGGCCCAGTCGCGGGGGTCGTTCTCGGCCGTCCGGAGCCAATGAGACCACCCACTCCACAGAGCCTGCAACAGTCGTCTTGGGCGAGGAGTTGTTATGGTGTGTAAACTCAGAGAACTCCAAACATCCTAGTGACAAGCTTGTCTGTACCAAGAATCTTGCCGGGCTATCTTTGGCTTAGGTTTTCTGGAGTAGATGTTCAACCCCGAATCCTTGCATTCCCCGTTGACTTCATTTGGTAAGCAATATATAGATTAATATAGATTATATATATATACCCTCCTCAAACAGAAAGAACTCAGGAGCCAAGCCGTGCAAGGTTGAAAAAGGATGTGCATGATGTCCTTTTCCTTAGCTGCTTTCGGACTCCCAGCGCCCATGTCGTTACGTATCACTCCAAGTTTAGAAGAACTTTCTCTTGGCTCTTCCTTCATGTACTGAAAGCCAAATGAGATGTGACCCTCCGGAAGTTCGTGCAGCACGATCGTGATGACGGCTCAATTGACTGAGATGAAAGCTCTTCAAGCTCGAAGCTTGGGCAAGTCACCATCTCCCAGGTGAGAAGGGCTCGAGGTCTATTCGGTGTGGATTGAACGAAACACGGGGGGTTCTGGGGGAGGAATTTATACGTGCATTCTTCGTTTTGACTGTGATAGGGGAGATAGGGGAGTGTTGTATGTGGTGCTTTCTAAGCCTGTTTTGGTGTATTTCAGGTTGATTTAGTGCCTGTTTGGGCGGCTGCTTTTCCTAGGACGCATTTGGGGGGTTTCCCGCTTTGAGATTCGTGTTCAAAGGGCACCAAAAGAGGTTTCAGTCAGTGAGTCGATGACACCAAAAAGGTGTAACATCGCATCCTTTGGTGCAGATGTTCAATCCATAGACGGATCGTGAGTGGTGCAACTTGACCAAAGCTTCTCCCGACCAAAGCTTCTCGTCTCTCTGCCAAAAGACGACCATGATTCATACAGATTGCGGCAATGTTTCGATCTGGGGTGTTGAGCATAAAGATGTGAGATATCAACACCCCAATCAACCCAATGCTTTATGCTCAACCCCCAAGTCAACATCAAGATCTGGCAAATCATATGACTTGGGTTGGCTGGCCTTGTTGATTGAGCATGACATGCCCAATCAAAACGCTGACCCCGGCGTCAGGGATTTTCTATGATTTTCCCAATCGTCTCCCTGAACTTTGACTTTCTAATTGGTTGTCCCCACAAACAGATCGGTCCTGAGACGTCCTAACTGTAAACTCCTGAGCTTGTCATGAGTTCCGCTGCTCCTTCTGCATCGCCCACAAGTCACCCGCTCCTTCCAGGAGCTCCCCGTCCACGGCCTGCGGCGCTACTTGACGCCGGAGCAGTTCCGTGCCCGTCTGGAGGCATCTCAAGCAGAGGCGTCGTCGGCGGCGGACCGGTCCGAGACGTCCAGTCCACGTTGATTCCTTTGGACTTTGGTCAACCCTGGACGTTAAGTTTTGGTCCGAGTTAAGTGGGTTGAATGACTGGCCAAAAAGCGAACCAAAGAACGCAGCAGACCACCGCGAAGGGGTTGGGAAGTTCTTTGTTTCGATTCGACGAGCTTGAACGCATGTGGAACTTTTTCGTTTCTCGGAGGGTGTAATGTGCTGTTGAAGGAACAATGCGCACATTGCCCTGGATGCACAGGAAGTCCTAAGGGTTTTGGATCCTCACGAGACTAATATAGCGTCCTTGCTCCTAGTAGCGATGCCAGGAGCCCCTAATAGCTATATGAGACTCTGAGGAGGCTCATGAGAGACGAGTCCAACACCTTGGCTTCTTCGGCTCGAGGCGCCAAGCAAAGAAGCGGAGCGGGACTACCAGCAGATCTTACAGGTGCGAACGATGGGTCAAATTTGGGAGCCCCTAGTGGCTTCATATAGCTTCATGTAGCGATTACACAACTCAGTCCAGATGACATGTAGAAAACATATATGGGAATTCAATGGAACCTTTGAGCCTTAACTCTTGTGTGAGTAAAACCCGGTATAGTTCCTTTTTCATTGAAGCTTGAGAACCCACATGGATCCTTTCGAGTTCACTACTGGTATTCCTGACCTGTGTTTAGGAGGACTGGACTCCAATCGACAAAGAGAAGCTGGACGTAATGTTGCAGGAGGCGCACTTTGAGGCCCGCAAAGACGCGCAAACTATGAAATGACACGTAGTCTGCGCTGTCAGGAAAGCGTTCCCTGCGGACTTTCGCCCCAAATTGAGCTAACAAATAATACAAGGGCAACCATGGCGGTGAATGAACATTGCTATATATATATATATATATTCAGAACATGAGCTTTCACAGTGTTTGAGCTTGCGTTGCTATGCATCTCGGCCCCCCTGGGGTTCACCATCCCTGTCGGGAGATGTCATAGGCTTGAATGAAGCAGACAGTTTTGTGTGAAACCCACATCGGTCAGCTCAAGATGGAAAGGGTATAGGTGATGCCGACGTTGCAAACGAACCGCCAACAGAAAGGAACCGCTTCCACGCGTGGCCATAGAGAAAGCGGCAGAGGAGCGATGTGTAACCAATCTGGGACTGCGTGAGAGACGGCCTTTTGCGGGGCACCGGTTCAAGGTTCAACGAAGTTTCTGAGTGACCTGCATACAGAAAGACTTCGTGTAATGAAGAGGCTGCATACATGCATACCCACTAAAAATGTTTCAAGCGGCCTTTGGTGAGTCATGCAATGTTCTGTGCCAGGAGCTGCGGAGTAGCCTTTATGAAGCCCTAGTCGAGGCAAGGCGAAAGCTGCAGGTTCGCGTCGTCTGCAGATACAGAGGCACTCTTTGGAACGAATGGCGGATTCGTTCCTCGGTCTTGGACGCTAGTGGGGCCCTTTTGATGAGAACTTCACACTCGATTCCAGGACAGCAAATGTGTCTTTCGGATGGGCACATTGAAAGAAGTCCTATAGTCAGCGATACTGAGGTTATTGGTCCTCACATGCAGGGCTCCTGTTTTCATTGGGAAGAAAGCAAGCTTCCTCACTGGCAAGCTTTTGGTGGTTTTGAAGTCCACAGCCAGCTCACCCCTCCTCATTTCTTTGGACGGAACTGTCCACTTGAAAGAAGCACGGTCAACAGGTTTGATGTGGTCAGCACGGCCCGCAGGAGGAATCAATTAAATCGGCAAATCAAGGGCATGGACGCATGGACCCATCATGCCCCTTTTTAAATTCTAATTCTATTGAATTCTTGTTTCTAATAGCTTCTTGTTACTAGTAGTAAGGCCAGGAGCCCCTAGCGTCCTTGCTCCTACCCCCCTAATTAAAGGGCAAGAATGACCCTTCTTTTTTTTCCAGGACGCGAACAAGCCCGGGGAAGAGGAGGTGCTTCAGATCCTTGGAAGCTGTGAGTGTGTCTTACATGTTCACAACGTTCTACCTCATGAGCGAGACCTTGTGAACCATCCCTCCAACAGCCCCATGCCTATGAAAAAAGATTTGCCTCACTCCGCTTGATGTCCCACCAGTCCTTTGTCACTGGACGGCCCTGTATGCTTCGCCTCCACCGACACGGATGCATCCCTGCTAGCTTTCGTCACCTACCCTCGGCCTCAAGTTCTCAAGGTACGAACGTAGCATGTGTAACCATTCTTTATGGTGTGGATTACCCAGATACGGCGATAGACTGATCCGTGCTGTTCTTTCCTCCTCGTCCTTGAATCAGCCCTTGTTCCCAACTGTTTGGAGGCCTACTTGGATGCACCCTTGGATGAGGCTCTTATGAGGCTCCAACGAGCTGTGAAAGAGCTGGATCTGGTCGTCGAAGGTTGACGTGCAGCTTCTCCACCTACCCTTGACCATCCTTGACCATTCCCCACGGAGGATCGATTTGGTGCACGAAGGGCACGATCACTGATACTTCAGGAGAGAACCCAAAATTGTAGGTTCAAGGCCATCGCTAGTAGGAGATTCGTCCCGCCACCTCCAGGCCTTTCGAGGCTACCACTCTTAGAGTACAAACCCCGACTTTCTGCAGCCCGTGGCTGCAATTCACGGCCCGGGGTTGCGACATCCGGAGCTTTGTGGGGAAGTTCCCGAGACTTCCGGTTTTTGAGCTTCGTCTCCGTGAAGGTCAAAGCACGTGGAAGCCATGGATTAAGACACAGAGAAATCTCTCAGAATGAGAGATGGAATAAGATGGAACATGATGGGGCTGTTGGTTTCAGTCACGCCTGGGACCCTAGTTCGGATCCCACCCACGCGAGCCAGTGTCGAGCCATGTCGAGCCTGTATCGCCATATCCCACCCTGTTTGGAAGACCTGAATTGTTTGAAATCCCTTTGCTTCTGAGCCAGGCCAGCCACTCCCGCCTGGCTGCAGGAGATTGTGAGGTGTGCGGCGACGGTCGTCATGGTGGAAAGGGATATGTCTTTTTGAGAGGTGCTTTGCCACCTTATATATCCTTATGATTCCTTATCCATGTTGATTTGAAGTTGCAGGTCATGTTTGGGATGAGGGGAAAGACACAGTGACGTTCTGTGTTGGTGCTTGTTCTTGATTGGTTTTTAACAATTGCCAAAGCCAATGAGAGGAACCAACTCATGGTATTCCGTATTCATGAGATCTATATAATTCTTTAACGGTTTCCACTTTAAAAGGCTTTCACTTGCCCTCAGCGAAGAAGCATCTGTGTTGCCAGTGAGCGAGATCCCCGGTCTCCAAGATAAACCAGCATCTCCGTGGTATCAAATGTGAAAACACAATCAAGTATTGTTTTGATAGGACGAGAAGGATCCAATGTATAGCACCAGTCGGTGAAAGCATCATTGCCACATATCTCCACAAACAGATTGGAGTTTTCAGCTAGTTGACATGTCTGACACATTTAGGAATTTAGGGTCAGTCAGATGACACTCCTGGCCCTTTGCAACTTGGCTGAAAGATACGGTGTTCTGGTTTCTCCTTCCTCATTCTGTAAAAGAACGGGTCTGTTCGCGTCCTCCGGCCAGGCCGGACACGGCGAATCAGGAGTTGTGCCCAAGCGAGCCAGAGCAGCTTGGAAGGTTGAGTGTCCGGAAAGATCAATGGAATGGCAGTTTGTAGTTTGTGAATGTTTGTCAGATTGTTTTTGATTTCTAATTTTGTTTTAGCTTGACTTCTTTGACTAGCTAGCTAGTGGATGCTAGTGGTGTATTTGGCAACTTGCTGACACAATTCACGCGAAAGAAGACCGTATGCATGATGCACTTGGATTCTGGTGGTGTGATTTGTGAGTTTCTTGGATTCATGGGAGATTCATTTGATCGCCTCGATTTTTCAGCCTAAGGAATGAGATTCCACTCTCAGAGTTCACGGTGAAGGAGTGTGGGGCCTCAGAGAAGGCTTGAGGTTCATTTAGAGACGATGTTGTTTGACACACACACACACAGACTTGAGGCTTTTTCAAGGTCAACATGCACATCCAAGTTGTCCCCGTCTTTGTACTTTGCCTCCAACATGGAAGACTATCAAAGAATCACCGGCTTGTCCAGGTCACCAGAGAGTTGGTTGGAGGGAGTCTCGAACGCAGAAGCCGCCGCGCGGGGTTGAAGTGGTCGGGAACAGAAATGGACTACACACCAGGCGCAAGCAACGATGCAGAATCCCGGCAAATTCATACATTCATGCTCTAGCAAGAAGCGCCGAAAGGCATTCCATTGGCACCATTGGTTGCCAAACATCCCCGAAGGCGCGCGTTCAGAGGGGCCCTTCTGAGACTGCCTCGATGCCACACTGACATGTCAGATGTCCTCCCTGTTCAAAGGGCATCACTACTAGGAGCAAGGACGCTACTAGTAGCTCCTGGCATCACTACTAGTAACAAGAAGCTACTAGGAACAAGGGCATCGCTACTAGGAGCAAGGACGCTACTAGGGGCGCCTGGCCTTACTACTAGGACCAAGAAGCCACTAGGGTGCATGCCATCGCTACTAGGAACAAGAAGTTAGGGAGGAGCGTTGTTTTTTCCAGTATTTTTTTTGTTTTTTTTTTTGGATTCTTCTTTTGCTGTGTTTCTGCTTCTGCTGCTTTTTTGCTTTTGTTGCTTTTATGCTTTTGCTTTTCTGCTTCTGCTGCTTTTGTTGCTTTTCTGCTTTTGCTGCTTTTCTGCTTCTGCTGCTTTTCTGCTTTTGTTGCTTTTATGCTTTTGCTTTTCTGCTTCTGCTGCTTTTGTCGCTTTTCTGCTTTTGCTGCTTTTCTGCTTCTGCTGCTTTTCTGCTTTTTGTGTTTTTGTCTTTCAACTCTTTGCTTTTGTTGGTTTTCTGCTTTGGCAGCTGTTCTCCTTTCTCTTTTTGTTTTTGCTTTTCCATCTGTTTGCTTTCTAACCTTTGGATCTGGTGTGCTGCTGGGGGGGGCGCTGCGCCCCCCCCCC